GGTGGGTGGGGGGGGTGGTACGAGCACACGTGACATTTGTCAGTTCAAATCCAGATCGGTCTTTTATCCTTCCAAGTTATCATACGCCAGCGCCCATTCTTGGACCTGAACTCCCAGCTTGAAGATCGCGAGCGACGAGCAAAGCAAAGTCGAATCCATGGCCATGACAGTTTCTCTCATTCAGAGAAAAATGTTTTATTCGACCCGATCATTAAATGCCTGAACACCGAAGAAAGCAGTCTCACGGTGTACACCCGCCGGCGCCGGGTTGGGCACGATCCCGGACATCTCATTCTCCAAATTGACGAGCGCATCTGGGCTAGCGAGTACCTTCTGCCGCTCTATCGCTGCCAATTTTGTGATCACAGCGGAAGCTTAAGATAGACAAAATCGGAGTATTTGGAAATCCACCTTTCATCTTTGCAGAGGTTAAAGTCCTGTCATGACTTGGTCGTGAAAAAGTGCCACCAAGTGCAACGGGTTTGCCGTGCATATTATACAGAGGATTCTCTGACTCTCAAAGTCAGCGGTAAAAACGCACAGAAGTTGAGCTCGTGCACTTCTTCAAAAAGTGGATCCGAGAGAGCTGAAGAAGCTCACATATTTGTTCGCCATTCTATTCTAAAGGGATATATACTTATATTTATGATTTTGAACTTATATTAAATATAAAAAATTGACAAAACTTTTCTGTAATAGTATGACAAAGAAAATATTCTTCCTTAAACGTGGTGAAGCTTATATTTGTAAATCTTATAGAAAACGTGATATTTTCAATAAAATTTGATGTTTTATTGGCATAATGGGCACGTGAGAAATTATCTCTAGATGAAAATGCTTTACGCCAGAGCTATAACATAGACATATCATGATTGTAAATAGCGTAATCTACTCTATAGGCTTTCAGTTAATCTGAAAATCTTACATCTTCATGGAATTGAAGGGAATATCTATTGTCACCTTAATGAGTCGAATGACGAAAGGAATAATTTACTTTACTCTGGAATTCCATCAGTCGATTCTGAGCTGAATCTCTACAGTTGCAGTCGCTCAATCATTGGCGTTACGCTTAGTAACCCCTGAAACTATCGCTACAACTTATCGTAGTACTTGTGATCTAGTGAAACGCATTGTCTTTTTTAAATGGATTCAACGAATGACTCACCAAAAGCGAGGACAGAATGAAGTAGCAAAACTATTCAGACAGCTTTTATCTATTGCTGCCATAGATGCAGTTTAATCTGTCGCTCAAATGACGATAAAGAGACACACAAGCAGCTTCACAGGGTTGGCACCTTTCGCACGTTCATCTTGTAACGTCACACCAGTTCTTCAAGTTTTTATCGCCAGTCTCTTTCGTGTTACATTATGTCTTGCAAAGCACTGGTACTACATGAAGTTCTTCAAACTATTTGCGATTGTTCATTCGACTTTATTTAACATAAGAGCACTTGATACAAATGTTTCTTCGTCCACGACAGAGGACAGGCGACTTACGATTCTAATAACGGACTAAATTTATATACCTTAACGTCTTTCCGAGATGATTTTCAAGATTCGAATTGACAAAGTTTATTTCTTTATGTATAATCTTCATGACAACTTCAAAACACTCTCTACACGTCGACTCGTTGTTAGGTCACTTACTATCAATAGAGAAAGTCAATGACGCGATAAGAGTGAGCCTTCTCTATAAAATTAGTCGGATATTCTCTTGCCATTCTCTTTCTCAACATGGCTGCGAGCAAATATTGCTGATTTTCTCCTTGAACAAGTTGTGTCATTCTTACTTTTACCTTCAAGTCTTCACATTTAAAACGAACTTTTCCTCGCAAAACAGAATGAAAATCTTCAATTTCCTCGTCTTCGCTGCGCTTTCCATCGCCTCCATTAACGGTCAAACTACTACCAATTCCACTTCCAGCAATTCCAATATGATGTCAAGGACACCAACGACCACTTCTGAAGACTCAGCGATTGCCACACCGACTTCTGCGAACCCAACAAATGCCTCAGGCTTATCACCTTCTGCGAACCCAGCAGATGCCTCAAACTTAACACCTTCTGCGAACCCAGCAGATAGTACCACCCCAAGTGATACTAATCCATCGAATACCATGTCTCCAAGTGACACAAACACCAGCATGAACATGACATCTAGCGAAATGGAAGACCCGATGGTATCTTCAGCAAATTCGGATGAAACAGTCATGGAATCTTCAAGTGATAAAGAATCATCAGCTGATATGGAAATGTCCTCAATGGAAGACACAAGTACATCAAATTCTGATTCAAGTGATGCTTCGCACATTACAAGTACCATGACTATCGCTACTGTTGTTGTTTTGGCTATAGGCACATCTTTTTTGTAAGCGAGAAAGACAAAAGCTTTCTACACTTAAGTCTCAAATGACAACATGAACTTTTGTCTTGTAGATAGCACACATTTCATGCTCTTTAAAGTATCATACACACTTGAATAAACTCTTGAGTTCAAAAATCTTAGAAACTGAGTCTCTTAGGTAGTTTTTTTCCAAAAAACCAGTTTCAAAATACGGTATATCATAGTTTAAAGAAACAAGTCTGATCTTGTACAGAGAGGCGGAGAATAAACTGAACTAGTCTGTGTCTATAATCGCTAGTCATTGATTAAGAATACCAGATGGCTACGACGTCCTTACCTATCGCAGCAAGATAAATGGCCTTGTCAGCAATGAAAGCAAGATGTTCAACTTTTGATTTTTTCAGGTTACATCGAAGAATAAGTTTCATATAATTTAATTAAGTACTTAAAGCATACCCACGAAAAAAGGTAATCAAGATGGTATGGAATAACCCTGCCAAGAAAAGGTCCATCCTTTCAGTGGCTGGTACGTGGGACAGACATTGGTCGAGTCTTTCCGACCAGATACTGAAGATCACAGCCATTTTGACATTCTCGTTGTTTTCATCACAACATCATCAACTTGACCATGACATTCTTCACGTCTGAAGATCTTAAAATTGCATTTAATTTTTTCTGTACCGTATATGGAATTGGAACTCTCGGTGTCCCATCAAATTTTGCTCGTTCAGGTCTTCCATTTGCTACAATTGCTCTGATCTTTATGGCATTTGCAAATATTTGTTCTTGTGTTGCGATATCACGTGTCATGTTAGCTGCTCCATCAAATGTCAAGACTTATGGTGATGTTGGTGAATGGTGTTGTGGTAAAATTGGACGATATCTTGTTGTATTTGTTCAATTTGGTGTATGTTGTTTAGTACCTTGTGCTTTTTTAGTACTTGGTGGAATTTTACTTGATGGAATCTCTCCAAATGCATTTGATCAGCAATATTGGAGTATTCTCATGGCTGTTATGCTTTTACCTGTTATTTTAACTCCAACACTTAAAGAAGGAGCAAGTGCAGCTTTTGCTGGATGTCTTGGTACACTTCTTGCTGATGCTATTTCACTTGGAATATTATTGAATGGTATTGGATCAGATCATCCAAATATTATTGATCCTGAGTATGATCTTGGTCAAGTTTTAAGTTCATTTGGAAATTTAGCACTTGCATATTCTGCTGCTGTACTTGTACCTGCTTTACAACGAGAACATTCTGAACCAGAACGTATGCCACGTGTTGTTGCTACTACAATGACATTTACAGCATGTCTTTTTCTTCTTATTGGTACAACATCATATATCTCGGTTGGATGTCAAATTCCAGGGAATCTTCTCTTTGCAATTAATGGTACAGCACTTGATTTAAATGCAGATCGTGGTGCTGTTGTACTTGCTTATATGTTTATGCAATTACACATTACCATTGCGTTTTCAGTGATTTTAAATCCTGTTCTTTATATTGCTGAACGTGGAATTCTTGGAATGCATCAACCTTCACCATCTCGTCAAATTGATGAAGAATCACCAGCATTTATCAACACAATCAATTCATTATCACATCCAAAGGAACGTCCATCGAATGTATCAGCTGAGTATCAAATGTCACCACAAGATTTGATTGATGAATATCAAAATTGTGGTCCCATTATGATTGCTAAGTATACAATTCTTCGAATAATTATTGTGGTGATTCTTTTGATTATTGCAATAATTTTTAAAGATCATTTTGTTGATTTTACGGATTTTGTGGGAGCTTGGGCTGTTTCAATGGCGTGTATTATTTTACCAATTTTCTTCTATCTCAAAGCATTTTGGAACTTTATTCCATTGTATGAAAAGATACTTGGAAGTCTTTTGATTCTCGTCTGTGCTGGACTTGGTTGTTATGTCACTTATACAACTGGCGAGAAGTTATTCTTGAATATTGTGAGTGACAAGACTTTTCAATATTGTCCTTCAGGTTATGACATGGTTGTGTATACCAATGCCACTTTTTACGGTAATACTTAAATACGTATACTTGTAGGTTAAATAACTTGCAATATTAAATCTCATTCAATTAAAACTAAGCGAACTATATCCAATAATTTCAATCTTTTTATTTTTCAATTATGGCGCTTGCCCTTCGCTTTGCTGAGGAGGGAGAATTCCGGTCGGAGTTAGAATTTGCGTATAGTTTTAACATATGCACTCACTTTTCTTCTTGTTATAGATCTCGTGCATGTGATACATTGTCGTATGATGCTCCTGATGTTCCCCCAAGCAAAGTTTTCTTCCGCGTAAGTTATTGTGCCAATACTTGACAATATATATTGATAATGAATATTGGCAGTGGAGTCGACCCGTACGTGAGCATTTAGGATCTTTAGCGAACGATCCTGTCAAGACCAAAACGGTGATTATTGCCATGCCTGGAGCATCTCAACAATTCGTGCAGCACTTGACTGCCAATTGGATTCCAGTTGGGACTCTCGTGACAAGCGATCAAATTATTGTATGTAATATTATTTTGATACAATGCGTAGTATAATCGAACTCATATTGATATATTGTGTAGCATCCATGGAAACTACAGCCTGGAAGCTCAAGTAAAGCTTCTATGCTGTTATCGCGCACGAAGGAAGAAATAGTCGACACGTTAGTGATGTTATTGGGATCAGATGTTCCCGTGGCATCGACGTGGAATTGGCTTAAAAGTCTCTTGCAGCATGTTGCTCCACATGATATTGTGTGTCTAGACTCTCAATTATCGACAATATATTCAAATGATGGCGAAGAAGAAGCAAAGTTAAGAATGTTGGCATCATCTTGTGTGACGAAAGAGACAATAACAAAAATGGCTATACAACCGCTTGAAATTCCACAATTCGTGAGTGGAATACCAGCAGCTTTACTGACTCATGTACGTGAATTTAACTCAAATGTTTCTTTTTCAATATAAAAATATTAATATGAATCTTTAAACAGGGAGAACTTCGTAAATGTCGTGTACAAGTATTTCTCAGTCTTCGTAATGTCTCGTGTACTCCAATTGATGTAATTGAAAGCTTTCAACCGCTTCTGACCTCAATATTTCAAGACATGAAGTCATCAAGATCTTGGCAACGTGATACATTATCAAATGGTTCGACTTTTAACGTGTTATACACTTAAGTCAATTAATGGGTTGCAATAAGTTATTGTGACCTTTTTTTTCAATGTTATTTATAGTTCTCTTGTTCTTAACTTGTCGTGTGTTTGATCAAATGGCTCGTCAAGAGAAAGCAAGACCCGAACGTCAATTCGATACTCGTTTCTTACCTGACGATGGAATTCCAGAATATAATGCTTTGTTTGATAATCAATTAGGAACAAGACGTAAGTATTTACTTGGTAATCGAGAAGCATTAGCGCTTATGCAACAAACTGGAGTGATTGATCATATTGAAGCGAAAGAAAAGAGTTCACATCAATATATTGTACATATAACTGAAAAGAAAGGTATTGGTAGACGTAAGCGATTACCATTCCGATCAACTTCGAACGCAATAAATGGATTAATACAATCAAATAGTGATCTGAGTACATCGGCAAAAAGTACTATCATGAGTGGAGAAGATATTGGGCACAATAATATTGAAGAACAAGAGACTTGTGGTAAATCAGTATGCAAAACAAGAGAAAGAAAGTTTGAAATGGTAACCACTGTACCCTCTCACAAACGTCGTCATGATGTACGCACAATTTCATGTACGATGAATCGAAAATTGGAATCGTACAAACATGATGTTACGAGTAGAAATATTAAAGGAACATTGGAACATTTACTTGAAAGTGATGCTGCATTTCTATCTCAAATTCAAACAATGAACGACCAACTTGTTGAGTTTGAAAAGACTCGAATGTTTCTAATGACTGAAATTCATCACTTACGACAGAAATTACGTGGTGTGAATGCTGTACGTGAAAATGATGAAGCAGTGGCTCATTGTTCATCTATTATGCAACATCGAATTATTAAAGCAGAAGAAGAATATATGAAACTACTTACACAACAACAAGAAATGAAAAAACAGGTTGATCGTATACGACATGAAGTATTAACATTACGAAAAGTACGACAGAAATTACAAGAGGATAGTGAACAAATTCGACAATTGAATCAAATGTACGATGAAAAGATTCAAGGTTTTCAAAATGTACGCACACAATTACTTGAAGAATGTCATGATCTTGAACATCGTAGTGGAAATAAAGTTGAGATCCAAGAACAAGTTTTAGCATCAAAAGTAAATTATGTTGTCGATGTTGCGAAGTTGATGGATGCAGTAAAAGCACGAAATAAAGGACGAAGACGTGGAAAAGGATTGGGATCTCAACAATCAACTGCAGCTTTGACATTAAGTGTAGGAAAAGGAAAAAAAGTCGGAATTGAACGACAAAAGACATGGATGAATTACACTGTACGATGACATTGACATTTTGCGTAACATTATTGTCACCTACTGATATTATGTGTTTATGTTTACTAGTGTGCATTTCACAATTTACAAGCAACTTTAAACATTGCGGATGTTCGTACATTTGAAGAACAATTTCTCGCAACTCAAGAACATTTACTTTCCAAGTTTCAAGCAAATTTAACATTAGGAGATGAAATTACAGCTCTTGAAAACGAAATCTCTCGTTTAGAAACTCACAATGCAATAACTTGTGCAAATACACGAGAAGATACAAAGACAAGTGAAAAGATTGAACAGGATCTTCAAACGCGTGTACAAAAAGCGTTTTTAAGTATCAAGTCGTATAATCAACTTCGAACACGTCGGAATCGGGAACATCTTAAGTTGCGCGAAGTAATTTTACGAGCATTGGATACTTTACAAGTTGAGATATACAATACAACGAATGTACCAACATCCAACTTATTGGAACTTTTACAATCGAAAATGACCGAATTGGTCACTTTAGTAAAGGAAAATTACATGAGTTCATCCAAATGGGATCAAACTCGAACTTTTTCGATTGTTTTGGGTCCTCAAGCACCAGCTGGATCAGCATTAACAGCAATTCGTCGTACTGTTCAACCACCTTCTGTTGAAAGTGCGATTGCATTGACTGAAAATATTAGTTTTATTGATGTGATGCATGGATTACATCGTGCTGTGAGTCCAAAACAAAGACGAGAACGATCAATATCGTTAGCAACGTCTCATTTAAACAAAAGCAACTAAAATTTGGTAGAAAATGGGTATTTTGATCGATAGTAGCAAAAAAGTGGTTTTTTTTCCTACAAAACAATCACATGAACTTCTTTCTTCACTTTTTCACCTGTTTCTTTCTTTCTATTCACTGCAGTTGACATTTCGTACGTTGTACTTCACGTGTCGCCTTCACAGATACTTCTTGCCGTTTTTTAGGTACATTGTACCAAAATCGGACAAAACCATCACGTTTTGCAAAGATTGTATGGTCCTTTCCAAGACCTACACCGGTTCCAATATGGTACTTGGTACCTCGTTGACGAATGATGATATTTCCAGCCAAAACGCTTTGACCTCCAAACTTCTTCACGCCCAGACGCTTTGATTCAGAGTCACGACCGTTTTTAGTAGATCCACCAGCTTTTTTAGTAGCCCAACGACAAGTAATCGAGTAGATACTGCCAAGTGTACCAGTCCCACGACATGGGGCGGTACTGTAGCCAAAGACGCGCGCGAGACTCATCGGTAGTACCATTTTATTGAATGGTAGTCAGTTTTGATGTACTATTATTATGGTACACAACATATTATGAAATAGCATAGGTTTCTATTGTCAAGCGTCGTCAATATTATAACCAATATTATTGGATCATGACGTATATAACGGAAGGTGTTGTCGTGGAGAAACGCTCGCGATGGCGTCTATCAATCGTGACGGATGTTGTATGGGGAGCAATTAACTTTGTCGGACTCTTGTACGTACTATCGAACTGTCATATTGCTTTGATCTCAATATATCACTTTCCTTTGTATTGTATGATAACAGTTTCTCGTCAATATTTTCCGTACGTTCATATAATTTTCTCAAGCTCCGTTATGTTGTTAACATCTGCAATCTACAGGATCCATCACATACATTGCGTTCTAATAGTAATATAAGCCAAGACTCGACACGTCGTATCGTTGGTGGCAATGGACGTGGAGGTCCACGTCGAATGGGACAAGTGAACCATCGTCAATCAAGTATGTATCATTACAAATTATTATATTGGATCCCATATATACACTAAACAATGTATTGTAGCATGTGGAAGTTGCTGTGGCTAGCTTTTAAAACTTAATCAAGTCATTGACTCGCAAAACCAAATTATTACCGGATTTCTATGAAAGTTTCTAGCCTCTGAAAATCTATTACTTCGTCCGTCGTTTCTTCGTCGCTCCCTTTGTGAAATTTTTCAATTTCTTGCCCTTCTTCTTTCGTTTCTTCCCATCTTCATCTTCTTCTTCCAACTTTCCTTTCTTCTTGCCATCATTCTCTTCTCTTCCCAATACACGCTTCAGTATATTCATACTTCGTTCCTTCTCCGTTGCTTCAGCTCCTGTCGTCGGCAAAAAGTGATTGCGTTTGCCTTTCACTTTTCGTTCAGCTTCGCCTTCACGCATCTTGTCAAATTTACCCATAGAAGCTGTTGAAAACTGCACTTTTTCCAATGTCTTGGACGTGCCATCTTTGCCACGTTGTTTCGCCTTGACATCGTCCGTATTCATTAATTCCACTGGAATACCAGTAGGTGTGCGACCAGCAAGTTGTTTACCACGTCCTTGATTTTTATTATTCATCTGGGCACGAACATTCTTGTCTACTTGAGCTCGTTTTTCTTGCTTGCGTTTCGTCCACGGATCTTCCATGTCTCCAGCTTTCATTTCAACAGCCCAATCCTTCAAATCGTCACCAGCACGTTGATAACCCCATGAATGACTCCATTCTCCTTTTTCTTCATCAAAGACTTTGCGACTCTTCTTCCGCTTTTCAATACCCTTTTCCTTGGCAAATTTCTCCCATTTTGTCTCCACTTTAGGCTTTGGCAATGGTTTTTCACGAGGAATGACAACTTCAGGTTCTGGCAGTTGTGCTAGTGGACCCATGTCCGACATGACGCGTGGCAACTCAAAAATGCGATTGATTAATAGTTGGACATTCTCCCGAGCATGAAGTGCCAATTCTTTTTCGTTTTGATACACAAATGGATGCGTATCAAATGCTGCTAAATTGCCCAAATCGTACGTTAAATCATCTTCTTTCTCTACTGTGCTTGTCGTTCCTTCAGCGTATGCAACGGGTGCGATCTCCGACGCCTTGACCACCATCTTGACCTTGTTGATCACTGGTTCTGGGTGTTTAGTAGAAATTAGACCAATACGACGTCACCTTTAGACATTTATCTTTTTCAAACCTTGGTATAATATATTGTATTAAATTTAGCATATTCCTCTGACATTTATTGTAAATTGTAAAGCTCATTATTACAATTTCGCTCGTGAGACTTTATTCAACAGAAAACAATATATACAA